GATTTAGCGAAATGGGACTCCAACCATTACCTACATCTTATGTAAAGGCACGCCTACTTATTGAAAGGAGTTGAGAAACTTGCCTGGGTATGCAGTAATGATACCACTGGTATGGTATCTAGCGATGCTGTTGATGCTGGGATCGTAATCATTCATCATCTGATTTTCACGTATATTGTTTATTTATTTGTTTTATTAACTGTTTCATTATTCTAGTTACAGCACAGACCTCTCACAGAAACAATCTTCATTATGGATATTATTCAACAAACTTGGGAAAACATATGCAATAAGTTCGTATTCTGTCGCCACCGCATATAAAATACATCTAAAAATTGAATTTTGCCGTCTGCGTCTGGTTGGGTCTCCCATTTATAGAAGCGTAATTGCAAAGGCATCATCTGATTTATTCATTATAATGTTGCCCACGCATGTTGACGTCAGATGTAGTTTTTCACCGTATATCACAGTGGCTACGCCTTAAAACTTGTATACATTTCATTTATTGGTGTGCCTTTTTGAATAACTGGTAGTGTTTGTTTGAAGTCACCTGCTAGCATTACAATGACACCGCTCACCAGAGCCTGTTTATTATATATATGGATATATTGCAGACCTCCACATTTTGCATCATCAATTTGCAATACAATGAATAAAAATATAAATAAAGCGATGCGCCAACATGCCGTGATGAATACTCATTGTGGTTTTTTTGGCTTGTACGATTAAGTAGCAATTTGAACACCGAAGGCACGTCCACAATTGAGTAACATTGCAGTGATGCCCGAAGAAGCTACAGTTAAGGATTGCGAAGCTGGGAAAGCAGTTAATTCAGCATAAAATCCGCATTCCTTCTACGAGCAAAACACAGGTGCGCCGATAGAGAATAACCTCCCGCCTCCCCTATTTATGTGTTGCAGAAGCAAAGATAACGCTATTTCAGTCACATGAGATCCCTCACTATATCGCTTGACTATTCTCCCCATCGAATTTTTTTATCGTGATTCAAAATGTGATTGTCCGATATCAACGAAATCAAAACCATGAAGTCCATAAAACAAAAGCCGAGTCAAACAAGTAGTAACAGAAATCCAAAGTCCAAACAAAAAACCAAATCGTCAAAGAAATTTAAAAGAAACTTAATAAATGCATTCACGACTTCACAACTACACGAACAAGCTCGGAAAAAACAAAAAAATATCACACTACCTACATTATTTCATGACTCAAGCCACTTGTTTGATATGACATCTCTTCTTGCAAAATCATCAAAAATTAGAATTGAATTTTTATTTTTAGCAAGTAATTTAGTTTGATTTATTCTCTTATTTTATTTTTAATAGAATCCCTGAATTTTTCGCTTTTTAGCGTATTGTGTACATAGACTGGGCCTGAAATGGTCCCTCTCCTTTGATGTAAAAGCCGATCAAATATTTATGTATTCCATGGCTGTAGATTTAAGAAAAAACCTGAGTAAGGGATCCTTCAAGAGGTTGGTCCGTGAATATTTTAAAGTGTTAATTGATAGGGTCGCGTCGTTAGCTGCTATTGTTATATGTATTTATTTATACAGTATATATACATATATATATATATATATATATATATATATATATATATATATATATATATATACGTGTGTGTGTATATATTTTATGTGGATATATGTGTATTTTGAAAAAATCTATTATAATAATGAATGTATTGATCTCTGTTATATCATCATCATCATTACAGCCCTTCACAAGTCCACTGCTGAACATAGGCCACCCTCAAGGAATACACAAAGCACGGTTCTGAGCACTCTGCATCTTTCGACTACCTGCATGTCTTACCTGATGGTCACTCCATATAGTGGGGGAACTCTAGAAACTTTCTTCTCCATCTGTTATCGGTTCTTCGAGTTAAATGGCTGGCCCATTGCCACTTTGCTTACTAATCCGTTGGGTGATGTCGGCCACTCTGGTTCTAATGCGAATATCCTCATTCCTAAGTTTATCACGCAGAGAAAGCGTCTAAGCATAGCTCTCGCCATAGCTTACTGAGCTACTTTGAGCTTCCTTATACATCCAGCAATGAAGGACCACGACTCAGATCCATAAATCATCACTGGCAGCACACAATGGTTGTACAATCTTTTTTGCAAGTTTTGAGGTATATTCGATGAGATGATGTGTCGTAATCTCTCGCTGCCCAGCCAAGTTGAATCCGTCGATTGACCTCTCGGCTGAACTTGGACTTTCCTAGTCAGACTGTTTGCATTCCCAACAACTACCGACGTAGATGTGCCATGGACGGTTACACATCATCTTTTTTTGTCGAAGATGAACGTGTCCTAAAAAAGGGGAGGTCAAAAAATTCGCGAAATGACAGGGAAGGATAATGAAATGAAACAAACTATTGTTCCTTTTCAATGTATTCTCACTTAACTCTAATACATTTATTAGATATGTCAAATAACTTATTAATACTGTCTAAAAAGAAAGATTTTTCTTGGGCGTCAAAAGTTACCGACTTCACTTCATCATCGTCGTCAAATTTTTTCCTACGCAGTTCTTTCTTCATTTTTGGAAACAAATAATAGTCGCTTGCGGCTAGGTTTTGGCGGTAGAGTGGTTGGCGCAGTTGTTCAAAACCGTACCGGTGAATAGCAGTTGTCGCAACATGGCTTGTGTGCACGGGCGCATTTCGTGCATAAAGAGCACGCCTTTTATAAGCTTTCTTCGGCTTTTTTCTTTAATAGCTTTTTTAATTGATCTAGTAAAGAAGCGTAGTATTCTACCGTTATGGAAACACCACGTTCCTTATAATCAAACAAAAGGATATCTTCTGTATCCCAAAAGATCGTCGCCATGATCTTTCCGGCCAATTGAGACACGTTATACTTCTTAGGAGGAGGTGTGCCTTTTTATGCCACTGCATCGACTCTTGCTTTGACTCAGGTTCATAATGGTGAATCCAAGTCTCATCACCAGTTACAATTTGGGCCATAACTTCTATTTGCTCTCTACAGCGGTCCAAAAACTCGCGACAACTTTCAACGCGCTCGTGTTTTTGATGCGCAGAAAGCATTCTCGGAACCCAACTCGCACAGACTTTAGTCATGGCAAAGTACATTTCACATCGTGATGTGCGAGGTTGGTGAGTAAACTTTATGACTGTGATTCTGAGTATAAGGTACGCAACCCTTGTCGACATACTTCCAATCTTTACAACGTTGTTAACGAGAGATTTGTGGACGATCAATCCGCACCTCCTTGGGACAAATGGGCCTCACGTTGATAGAACAAGTTGCCGAATTCGAGGATTACCGTGTCCTCCCCCTCACTTCGAACCTCAGAACATCCTATAATATTCCAACGCATCTTATCTATATGCTCTTCCAACTCCAGGATCTTCTCGTCAGTCCTCAGGGTGCGTGCGTTATATGTTGCCAGGTCGAGTCGTCTTAGGTGGCAGCCGAACCCCCACCAGATTTTGGTTATCCTGACCTGTTACCATGGTCACCACCGTAGCCAGGAATAGCGGGGCCCCCGGAAACTGAGGGCCTTTTATTTCCGTATATGCTCATAGAGAGTATATTGCCATAGTTGCCACGCTTGTCGAGCGGGTTGCAAACCGTAGTTTTCGATTGCTTTTTATTGTTATCAAAAAGATGCTGCTGTCTAACTTCTGCCTCAGTTTGCTCACTGGAAGATATTGGGTAGTGGGTATTCTTACCCGCTACTACACGGGGCATCATTATCTCTGTTTTATATTGGATATCAATACTAGTAGATAACATTATTTTCTTATTAACTTCCGAATAATTTATATGCTCGTAATTGCACCTGCCACCACTTGTCACCACAGCCAGATTTGACTGGTAGAGAATGACAATAGGCATTAATACCGGTCATTGTAGTCTTTAATTTGATAGACTCAAGGTTCAACAAATCAAACTTTAAGCCATGCATGTATTTCGCACCTTTAGAATAGTAGTGACGTATCTAAACAATACATGTTTATGGGAAAACAAAAGCGAAGTTTTAAAACTGCAAACTTTCAACTTTGGAATGATGTAATTAATTAATTTTGTATGTAAACCTATCAATTATTTGCTTTCTGTATTAAGTTAAGTTTATCTTTAGTAAAATAAAAGCAAAATAAAAATGGTATGTTGCATATTTTTTATTAAAATTAAGGTTTTTAAAAAGGTTCCCAATTTAAGTCAGTATTATACTGAAACTGTTTGTTTTTTTAAAGACCGTTTTCGTCTTAGGTCTTTTTATTCCGAAATCATTGTACAGTTTTTATTCTATTTTTGAAAAGTGCACTACAAGAATAAACTGAAAATATGCTATCCTGTCACATAACGAAATAAGCCATTTTATATTTAAAAAGGTCTGTAAAATTAAACACTTTTATTTTCAAAAGACTTATATTAGGTCACTTTGGCACAGAAAATAAACATAATAATCTTGTTCGTTTGAGTCAAATCTGCAATTATAAAATCAATAATAACAAAATCAATAGAAACAAAACAAAGTTACAATTATTGTATATCCATATAGAAATAGCTTTTTTATCAAAGGACAATTACAAGCATTCGCAAATCAGTCTTCACGCAATGCTTTGCAGAGCCAATGTTTATAATGATTAAGTTTAATTATGTTTAACAAATAAAAGACTAGTAAACAATTACAAATCAATATTCATCGTTTAACACAATGTTTTAAGAAACTATAAAAAACAAAATATCTTCATTAAAAAAAGAGTGTGAAGTACGGCAATGCTATGCATAGGTGCATATAATGTTTATAAATAAATTGAATAAATTATAACCAAAACAAATTCTCCTTCAAATGATAACATTTATAAATCAATACTTTGGTAATACAATGCTGTTTAAAACTAAAAACTGACCTATAGCAGAAGAGCCTGTTATACTTATAAAACAGTTAAATAATGTTATTACCTATAAAAATCAGCATAATAATGAGGTATCAGATTATGTTCAATCAAGGAACGTAAGTCAGTTTTTTTCTCTCAGATAACACCAGTCTTTGAGAGTATGCTTTGGTCATAGCAATTTCTCTTATATCACTCATCTTCTTCCTTTTGTTTCTCATGTTTACTTTGTTGAACTCATTTTGACTATAAGATGTCTTATAGTAAAATGTAAGCGTTTCTTCTTTAGAAAATTTAAGAATTTTTACGTCATTCCAAGTCATACTGCCTTTATTTTCATTTTCAGTAAAGTTATAAGCCCATTTCTCTTGAAACATGTTTTAGTTCCAAAAAAAAATCATACGTTAATTCTTGAACAATCAACAAATTGACAAGGTGCGTATATGGGCCCAGCCTTTTTATTCCGTTGGATTTCCTTTTCAATGAGGCTGTGTACGTTATCCCCTTCATTTTGGGTATGACCCTTTATTATGTACTTTTGAGTTATAGAATGGATGTTCTCAAAATGTGATACTGCGTAAGAATATAAGCAAGCTACTGTATTTATTTTTGTTTTGTCTGTAGCAATTGTCGGAATAAAACGTAATGTGGATGGCCTGATCCTGATGTTTTGCATTTAAAATCTCCAAATAATTAAAAATACACGATCCGATCTCGCTAGATCCGCGTTTCCTCAGAGTTTCGTCCCAGAAATAACTGTAGACATTTCCATAAGCTCCAATATCACGTTTGTGTCCACTTTCTGTTTTCCTCCAGATTGTTTTCTCTTTTCTTTAGTAATTCCGCGATTGTAAAGTTGAGGCAATTCAGTTTTGTTTTGTAATACCAAGGAATAATCTTGATTACTTTAATTATTTGTTTAATAAAAATTACAATGTGATTAAATCAGAAATTATATTGACTGAAGACGCGAACACAAGAATGAAAATTTTACAAGATGCGTTGCATCATTATTACAACATTGCTTTTCCAAAAATAAAAAAAAAAACAAATAAGAAGGAAACTTAAAAAGTGGACTACATTTGGTATAGAAACAAGTAAGAAAAACTTAACTAAAATGGAAGTATTACAAGAACATTAACCTAGCGAACAGAGAAAATTAAAAATTAAAAAATATAAGAAATGATTGCTAAAAACAATGATATCCGCAAAAAAATACAATATCGTAACAGGATTAAGGAGGCAAAAAATAAAATTAAAGAATCGTGGAATATTATAAATGAGCAGATAGGACAAAAGAAACGTCAAAACACACAATCTAAAATTGAATCTATAAGAAACAATAGTGGGCAGATAATTACAGAATCTCAAAAAACTGCAAGAAGTTTAAATGATTTTCTGCAATATTACACATCGATTAACAAGCAACTTAGAGGTTGACACAAAAAACTGCATGAAGTATTTAGATTGCTCAAATAGACCACTTACATCTATTTCTTTTTACCCATTAAATTATACAGAGCTAAAAATGGTTGTTACTAGTATGAAGCAAAAATCTACGTTAGAAACTTACGATATGAACACCAGAACATCAAGAAATCGTATTAGAAAGAACAATAATTTATTCGAATTGTTATTTATTGTTGTCGATTCCTGCTTAGTTAATGGCATATTCCCCGACGTACTTAAACCGGGTAGGGTAATTCCACTTTCAAAGGGGATTCCACAGAGCTCAGTAACTACAAGCCAGTTTGTATATTGCCGACGTTATCAAAAATATTAGAAGCCATTATAAAATCTTGAATTGTAAGTTACTTTGAAGTAAATCATTTATTTACAACGGCGCAATTTGGATTTAGAAAAGGACGATCAACCGAAATGGTCATAAGGAAAGTAATTTACTTCATTCTAGACAATTCCAATAGATATGCCAGTGTCTTTTATGACCTATCAAAGGCTTTTGATTGCTTGCGACATGATGTAATGTTATTAAAATTGCAGCATTATGGTTTTCAAGGAGCTGAACTAAATATGATCAAAACTTATTTAAGTAACCGTAGCCAAATTGTTTCAGTAAATGAGCAAACTTCTTTAGCGAGTTATGTGTCGATTGGAGTACCACAAGGCTCGATCTTGGGCCCTGTTTTGTTTTTGATCTATATTAATGATCTTGGCAATGCAATACCAGATTATACACATTTAAGTTTATTTGCAAATGATACAAAAAAAAGATTGGTTTAAGAGACAAAAGTCTATCAAATTTAGACGATAAAATTAACAATGTTATGAGCTTGCTAAAAGAATGGTTTGACGCAAATGGTATTATTCTAAATTCTAATAAAAGCATTGTAATGCACTACCAACCGAGGCTAGTCATTCGTGAATACAAAAGAAATTGTATTTTTAGGATATACGAGGGGTGATCCAAAAGTAATGATAATCGGTTACTTCAGGTCCGCATAAAAATCCAAAAAAATATTTTTTGCTTGCTTATATACTCACTACGTCTGCCTAAAAAATCATATAAATAGATCAAGATTTCCGGGAGATACATTCATTTGAATACGAACTGTCAAAGAAATAACATCAACATGGAGAAAAACGAAATTAAAGCTGTCATCAAGTACCTTTGTAAGTAAAAAAATGTCTTCAAAAGACATACACAGTGACTTAGTGGAATCACTGGGGGACTCTGCTCCTCCATATTCTACAGTTGCACGCTGGGCCAAGGAGTTTAAACTGGGCAGAACATCCACTGAAGATGAACCACGAAGGACGCCCATCCACGTCCCTCACTGAAGACAACGTGAAAAAAGTCGAAGATGTTGTGTTGGCAGATCGAGGAATGACCAATCAGGCATGTGGCTGAGGTCACAGGGATCTCATATGGCAGCGTTCAAAGAATCTTTGCGAACGAGTTGCATATGAAAAAGGTCTCTGCGCGTTGGGTACCCAGAATGTTAATCGACGATCGAAAGAAAAATCGAGTTGACATTTCGAGGGTCAGTCTCGAAAAGTTTCAAGCAGATCAAGAAATTTTTTTGTTCCGTTTTGTGACTATGGACGAGACCTGGATCCACCATTTCGATCCTGAAACGAAACAACAATCGATGACTTGGAAGCGAGCCTCCTCACCGACGCCAAATAAATTCAAAGTTTCAAGTTCGGCGGGAAAGGTTATGGCATCTGGTTTTTGGGACCCTCAAGGCATAATTATGGTGGAATATTTGGAAAAGGGCCACTATTACGGGCTCTTACTACGCAAACCAAATAAGAAGATTACGGGAGGCCATTAAGGAAAAAAGACGCGGCAAAATGCGAGCTGGAGTGCTGTTTCACCAAGACAACGTACCGGCTCACAAAGCCGCAGTTGCGATGGCTGATATTCAAGAAACGGGATTCAAACTGCTCGAACACCCTCTCTATTTGCCAGATCTAGCTCCTAGTGACTTCTAACTCTTTCTTCGGCTCAAGGAACGCCTCCGAGGCAAGAAATTCGAAGACGATAGCGAAGTAATGGCCGCTGTTGAAGCGTTTTGGGAGGGTCAAGAAAAAGATTTTTTTTTCAAAGGAAATCCTGTGTTTAGAAAAAAGATGGACTAAATGTATTGATTTTTTAGGCGACTATGTAGAAAAATAAATTATTATTTTAACTTTAATTACCGTGTTTTATTTTCATTATCATTACTTTTGGATCACCCCTCGTACAGTAGATAGCACAATAAACCATAAAGCTCATATTGAAAAAAAATGTAAGAAAATAGCTAGCGGTAATTACGCATTATTTAAGCTAAAGCCATTATTAGATAAAAAGACACTCATAGCTGTGTACTATGCCTACATTCATTCTGTATTAAGATATGCCATTACTATTTGGGGTAATGCTCCGGATGTTATAAACAATCTACAAGAATAATCAATGGTCTAAAAAAAGTAGCCCGGCAAGAATACATTTTAAGAACAACCATATATTGACAGTGGTTTCGCTTTATATATATAATAGTTTATTAGAGGTACATGAGGATAAAGAAATACCGAAAAAGAAAGACATAAATCAGCACAATCTACGTAATAATGAAAAACGTGTTCTACCCATGAATAGATTAGTGAAAGTAAAAAAACAGGGGCGTTACTCAAAAATATTGATGTATAACAAATTACCAAATAGTTTAACCAGCCTACACTATAGCAAATTTAAACGGAAACTTAAATATTTTTTTGAGGACAACCCATTTTACAAATTAGGAGAATACATGTCAATGCAACTCATGGAATCATCATTCTTGTGTAACGTACAAACAAAATAAATTACCTAATTCTATGACGTAAAGCGTCAATGTAACTAAATTAAGATACAATAATATAATTTAATCTTATAAATTTATAAAAACTTTTGTAACCAATGACTTGCCTGTAACGATTGTTATATAATGGTCAGTAAATATTTCTGATTTCTGATTTCTAATAGAATGAAGATGAATCACCACTAGGACATTGCATAACCGCTTGCAGGTCAAAAACTGCACAAATATGGGTTTCTGTTTTAGGGATAAATCTTTTTGTTTCAAATGAAGATCATATTTTTCTCGTAGTTGTAGTTTTTTTTTTGCGGAGAAACAAGTTCATATTCAAAACATAGGTCGCTTCTGTCTTTTTTGTGTTGAAAAAAAAACCAATATTAAACTCTTTTGTGAAAATGTCATAATATAACTAATATTCACATGTAGCTTTTACTGCGTCACGTTGACCTTTATCAAAATCTCTCCATAGACCCATTATAGTTTTCTCTCCACCTATATATTTTCGAGAAGTTGAAGACCTTAAATAATGCGATTCAATCCTTGGTATGGAATTAATGTGGTTCGTTATATCTTGTATGATTGATGGTTCTATCCTTTTTCTATTCTGGTTTTTACCTCAGTTATCTTTCTCTACGAAACCTTGCGCATCTGTCTTCTTTTTAACAGTTCTTATTTGCCTGTCACATATACCTAAAGTGTTTATAAAGAAAGTTTTGCAAACTCTTATTTTAGTATCATTAACTGTAAAATAAAAGTCTTGGTCTAGCTGCATTTGTATATTTATATTTTGGTTTTACTTCTGCCATGCAATTCCTAACAAAAGATGTAATTCTATGTTTCCTAGTGCCCAATATTTTTGAAATATTAGATTTCTATCGATCTCATTTATATTATCGATGCATTTGACTCTATATTTGCTGGTACATGGACTTTAATTTAACGAGCAGGAATATTTTTTTTTAGATTCAGTGTAAGAAACATATTCTTTCCCAGTATTTCGCAAAGTTTTGGCAACCGTTAGTTTCCACTTGTTGGGATTTCATAGACGTTTGCGGGACTTCTTTGGACCTTCCACAACAGAAGCGTTAACATTTTCGGGTTCACTGTATGTAGTGTCAGAAGATTAGGAACTACTCGACGCTCTGACTGCACCTCCAAGACGTGTGCGAGGTCTATTTGAATATAAAGGATCATCGTCACTCAAGTCTGCATCACATTCGTTCGAATGAATAGGAATACATTTATATTATCGATACATTTGACTCTATATTTGCTGGTACATGGAATTTAATTTAACGAGCAGGAATATTTTTTTTAGATTTAGTGTAAGAAACATATTCTTTCCCAGTATTTCGCAAAGTTTTGGCAACCGTTAGTTTCCACTTGTTGGGATTTCATAGACGTTTGCGGGACTTCTTTGGACCTTCCACAACAGAAGCATTAACATTTTCGGGTTCACTGTATGTAGTGTCAGAAGATTAGGAACTACTCGACGCTCTGACTGCACCTCCAAGACGTGTGCGAGGTCTATTTGAATATAAAGGATCATCGTCACTCAAGTCTGCATCACATTCGTTCGAATGAATAGGAATACATTTATATTATCGATGCATTTGACTCTATATTTGCTGGTACATGGAATTTAATTTAACGAGCAGGAATATTTTTTTTAGATTTAGTGTAAGAAACATATTCTTTCCCAGTATTTCGCAAAGTTTTGGCAACCATTTGTTTCCACTTGTTGGGATTTTATAGACGTTTGCGGGACTTCTTTGGACCTTCCACAACAGAAGCATTAACATTTTCGGGTTCACTGTATGTAGTGTCAGAAGATTAGGAACTACTCGACGCTCTGACTGCACCTCCAAGACGTGTGCGAGGTCTATTTGAATATAAAGGATCATCGTTACTCAAGTCTGCATCACTTTCGTTCGAATGAATAGGCGACTCACAATAATTTTGGCTGTGTAGTGTTACGATATGTACCTGTAGAGGTTGAGGGTTTGCCTATCTTTATATTCGACTCAATTGTGTTAACATTATGGAGCGGGCTACTGCGATTGGACGAAGATGAGCTACTTGAGCTACTTGAGCTAGAAGACGAGGAACTGCTGGACGATGACTTGCTGCGTGATCGCCTAGGCAGTTCATTTTCTTGTTGGTTTTGTCCCTGTGTACATTTTAAAACTTCTACTTCATCTGCCACAGCTTCCTAAAATGAAATATTTTAAAATGAATACTAAAATTATGTGTAATATAAATATCTCATGTTGTGTCTACATCATGTGTGACTCTAATTTCTTACGTATATATACTACGTACACTTATTTAATAAAAAAAAAACATTAATTAATTTACCATAACAACGATTTTATGTATAGCTTCTATTGGCTGAGAATAGCACTGTTCAGTATTAACCTGAAAGCATAGATTATCAAATGAGTGAATGTGCAATTTATGTTATGACATTAAATAAGAATTTACCTAAAGAGACAATATTTTGAGACCAACCCTAGTTATGTTCCTTTTGCCATCGCAAAGTTCGTGTGCATAATTTTGAAACAGCACACTTTTCAGGTGTGCTTTCTATTATTGATGGCCGAGAGCTATCGTTTTCCTCATTCTGTAAATATCATCATCATCATCATCATCATTACAGCCCTTCACAAGTCCACTGCTGAACATAGGCCTCCCCCAAGTAACGCCACAAAGCACGGTCCTGAGCCACCTGCATCCATCGACTTCCTGCATGTCTTACCAGGTCGTCACTCCATCTAGTGGGGGGTCGCCCTACACTACGCCTACTGGTACGAGGCTGCCACTCGAGAACCTTTCTTCCCCATCGGTTATCGGTTCTTCGAGCTATATGGCCGGCCCATTGCCACTTTAGCTTATTAATCCGTTGGGCTATGTCGGTCACTCTGGTTTTACTGCGGATATCCTCATTTCTGAGTCTATCACGCAGAGAAACTCCGAGCATAGCCCTCTCCATAGCTCGTTGAGTGACCTTGAGCGGCGTCGCCGCTCATGGGGGGATATTTGCCATAATTGCCACGTTTGGCGAGCGGGTTGGCAACCGCAGTTTTTTATTATGTTATTGTTGTTATTAGGAAGATGCTGCTGCCTCCTCCTGCTTCTCCTGCCTGTCTCCCTCTGTCGCCTTTTACGACACCCACGGCAAGATATGGGGTAGTGGATATTCTCAACCGCCACTACACGGCACTCAATCGCCACTACACGGCACAAATATCATAACCACTATTAACATTTTTATAGCTATGTAGGTACCTACTGTACCTACTTAGTTATAAAACCAAAAAGAAAATTGTGGGAAAAAGCGAATCGGTTAGAAATAATTAGTTAAAATACATAAACATTTAGTTACCTGAGTCAACTTTCGTTTTCTTTGCTCAATAAAATGAGGAATGTTCTCTTTGTTAATTTCTTCCTATAACGAAAAAGCACAAAAACCATTTACATATTTTATATCTACCTACTTACTGTTATAGATTTCCGTAAAAACTAAATTTTATGAATAGAAACAAGGAATAGGTATTTATAATGATCGAATTTATACAAACCACGTCACTAGATTTTCGCATTTGGTCCGAGGGCCAATTTACATTTTTGTTATTGCTTGGTATTACGTCCACCTGAAAACGTATAAGATAATTACGATAACTGTTAAAAAAACCACAAATGCAATAAGCGTAATGTAAACATATAGAAATAACCTGTCGTTGTTCATTTATTTAAAAAATAAAAATATAAATTACCTCGCAACCTTCCGCTAAATAAATACCTCCCGCCCTCCCTCAATTGCATCTACTAACTCCGTCAACACTAGTCCCAGCACCACTACTCCCAACACCATTATTCCAGGTAAGACATACCATCGACGATAATACGATACGTGTTTCGCCTCTACACGAGGCATCCTCAGGTAATGTAGACTCTACGGCGGCTGACCGCTAAGTTCATTTATTTGTAATTTCTCAAATATTAACTCTGCTCTTCTCTTCATTTTTATTCTTATCTGAAACAAACAGGGCTTAATATAGTTTAAGTATTCGGTATTTAGGAAATACAGAGTCCTAAATCTTAATAAGGCAAATAAACACACCCATCTTATGGAATAATAAGGACTCCTTTAGCAAATTAGTGTAGTAGTGACACATTTTGATGTAAAATGTGTTGAAGTCGTTGGTTTTATTTTAAAAAGGACTCAATTCCGTTTAATCCTTAACACTATTATCAGTTTTAAGTCTTAAAAGGACCCAATTACCAATAAGTCCTAGAAGTAAAAACAAAATCGGTAATAGAAAGACCCAATATCTCTCTCTCTCTCAAAAGAGTCTCTCTTAAACTAAAGATTGACAAGTTTACTTACCCGTTTGTTCAGTGCACAAGTGACTTATTAGGTTTTAGGTCAGTTCAATAATAAACTTTTGACGACTTGTTCACTTCACTTTCGATGCATCACTAATCGCGTCCGATCCGAGCGGCGCGGGTAGAGGGAGGGAGTGTGAAAGAGACCGTACTATCGTAATCTTTATTCTACCATAAAAATCGGTCGGTCGGTAAATTGATCGGGTAGGACCCGAAGCGAAAGGTCGATCTGTTATGTCGTCCTCAAAAAATTAAATAAAAACAGTGTAAAAAGTGCACTAAATATCTCAAAATGTCATTATTTACGTGCATAAATAGTGGTGAGACTCTTTAGTGGTGTGGCAGTGGCTAAAAACTTTGTTTCAATACTAGATTTTGATCAAAAACTGAACGAAAAGTGATTTTGTTTTCTTTTGCAAATGAAGGTGAATGTTAATAACTTCTCGCAAAACAAAACAAATAACGAGTGTCTCTAGTATCTCAAATGAATTTAGTCCGGAATATAACACTTAAATTCACCATTCATCAAACAAGCCAGCTAGCCTAGTGGGGAGTGCGACGCATTACAACCAAAAAGACGTGGGATCAAATCCACGATATAATTCGACTTCTTTTTGTATGTTTCTTTAAGACAGCCTTTAACAACTTACAAAGAATAAACCTAAAGAAACAGAAAAGCAGTAGCACCAAATCCTTATTATAGGAATATAAATAGATTGTAGGAAAGTAAGCAAATTTAAGATGAATACAAGTTATAGCAACATAACATTCAGACGCATGCGGCGTTATAATTCCGAAAATGATGTAGCATAGTTTAAGGAGCCTTCCAGACGTATCTATACACAATAGCTCAAGGATGATTGAATTAGAAATGCAAATTGAACAACTAAAACAAACTCTTCAAGCTGCTAATACAGAAGTAGATAATTTGATATTGCAGAACAATGACTTGCAAAGGGAACTAGAAAACTGCCAGATGGTGATTAAATCACTAAGAGCTACACAAACTTTAGGACCTGAAAAAATACGCGATATGTCACCCAAGCCAGCTAGCAGTTTAAACAAAACACAACTTTTCAATAAAATTCAAAAAAAAACGCAGTAACTCAAACTGATGATAATCCGATCTCACAAAATATTAAAATAAAAAGGAATAAAAGAATTAAATTGCTATTAAAACCTAAAATTAAATATGCAACTGAAAACTTTCTTAAAAAAATTAAAATACAAAATAAGAGGGTTCGAAAATTACAGAAAGAACTGGAAAACTTAAAGATAGAGAAGAATAGAATACAACATAAATTATTAGAATTGGAAACACTTACTAAACTAAAAATATCAACGAAGGTCCAGAAAAAACAAGAAATAATACATAAGCAGGAAAACTACTCTTCAAAGCTGCAAGGAAAAGGAAATAAAATAGAAACATCAGAAAGAGACAGGGCACAAAGCGGAAAAAGAAAAGAGAACACAAAAACACTGACAAGAATAGAAATGTTTTCGGACAGAATAGGGAGTGGACTAGCAATCAAATTAATGCAACAATTGGAAAATACAAAAATAACAAATTACTGTCAAACAGGGGGAAATCATAAACAAATATTGAAGCACTTTGATTTATATACCAAAGATTTGAAAGAAAATGACTTAGCGGTAATACTAATAGGAAACTACGACATTAAAATGGGGACATCATATGTGGATGAAATTCGAAGAATTGTGAGCAAAGAAAATAGAAAATTCAACATTTTGTTAGGAAGTATAATATACGACAACATAAATGATGATAAAACCTTTACTATTAATAAAGAACTCTTTAATCTAGCTACGATCTGAGAATGTCAGATATCTTGAAATAAATGTAAAAGTCAAGGTAAATGTAAAAAATATAGTGATTGAGGAAACTGTTAAAAGTATCAAAGATAGTCACTTTAATGCTTCGTCTTGTTTGCACTTTATCAAATTAAATTCTAATTTAAATTGTTCACTAAATTTTTAGACACAACCAAGACTCCATTAACTGGTTAACGATTATGCATGCTAATATTCAGAGTATTAATAATAAATATTTAGAGCTAAAATTATTAACAGAAAATACAACTTGTGATGTGCTTTGTCTAACAGAGACTTGGACCAATGAATTGAAATTAGGCGTAATGACTATTGAAGGCTTTATACTTGTATCATATTACAATAGGATGTTATTTAAACATGGAGGTACAGCTATTTTTGTTAGATACTCACTTGAATATAAAGTAAGACATGACATTGTAAAGTTGAGTATTGAAATGAATTGTGAACTAGCGGCAATTGAAGTAAAATCGTCTAAATTAGTTATTATTTGTGTATATAGACCTGATTATGATTATTTAATATTCGAAGATATTATGACTAAAGTTATCGAAAAAATAGGTAGGGAAAACAAAAGAATTGTAATTGCAGGAGATTTTAATTTAAACCTATTGAAACCAAATAATAAAGTATGCAAATTTTTAAAACCATTGAGTGAATTAAAATGTAAATTCGTCTTAAATGAGCCAACCCGAACCAAAGGGAAGTCTTCCACATGTATTGATAATTTCATTTTAAATGACGATGATGATTTTCAGTATCACAGGGGTAAAGTATTAGACGTAAAGTTATCAGATCATAACGTCATAGAATTAAAGTATAAATTGAATTCTACGTATCCTAAACCAAAGGAGAAGACTGAGGTTAGATCCAGAATAATATCTCGGGAAAATATAAAATATTTTCTTTACTTGTTCTGTAAAGACTTTGAATGTGTAAGAAATGATGTAAATTTGAAACTTGACGCAAATGAGAAAATGAACATTCTTATAGACTATATACAATATTGTTATTACACTGCATTTCCATTAAAAAGCAATAAAACCTATAAAAATAATAATAAACTAACAACCAAGGGTATTTTGATATCTAGAAATAATCTTCAAAAACTCGAAATATTACATAACTTGTATCCAGATAAAATTAGAAAATCCAATCTAAATAGATATAAGAGAATATATAGAAAAGTACTACAAACAGCCCAAAAACTTAGGAACGCGTCTAGAATTAAAAATTCCACGAATAAAATTAAAACTACTTGGACTATTATTAAGGAACAAAAAAATCATGTTAAAACACAAAGAATAAATAAAATTACTAAAATTAAAAATCACTATGGGGACATAATTACAAATAATAAAAATATGGCAAACAGTTTCAATGAGTTCTTTTGCAATATAGCTGGTAAACTTACGGAAAATTTAGAGGTTAAGGTTGAAAAATGTAGCAAATATTTAAAAAAACCCAACAAATAATAAAATTCGCTTTCATAAAATAAATAATTCTGAATTTTGGAATATTATTCATATTTTAAAATGTAAAACGTCTAGAGACATATACGATATGTCAACAAAAACTATTAGAGAACTTATCATCCATAACAAAGACATGTTTGATATAATATTGGAAGTCTTGAATGATTGCATTATAGAAGGAATTTTCCCAGATAGCTTAAAAATAGGAAAAATTGTGCCACAGTTCAAAAAAAGGACAAACTATTGAAATTGGTAATTACAGACCGGTGTGTATATTACCAGTTATATCAAAGATTTTAGAAACTGTCTTAAAATCTAGGATATTAGACTACTTTGAAAAAAATAATCTATTTACAGACTGTCAATTCGGTTTTCGCAAAAAAAGATCAACGGAAATGGCTATTAGAAAAACAGTATACTTTATATTGGACGCTTTGGATGGATCGCAGAAGGTATCTAGCATATTTTGCGATTTATCTAAGGCGTTCGATTGTCTGAGGCATGATATCTTAATTTATAAATTAAAATTCTACGGATTTGAAGGAAAAGAATTGAAAATAATGCAGTCTTATCTTAACAATCGAACGCAAATAGTTAATTTAAATAATACTAAGTCTGATTCACAACATAGTTACATTGGCGTTCCGCAGGGCTCTATCCTGGGACCATTGCTGTTTTTAGTGTATGTGAACGACCTTGCAAATAATTTACCTGACTGGGCGATGGTTACACTATTCGCGGATGATACACAGGTTGGTGTTAAAGATAAAAATGCAGTCCAAGTATCCAAGAAGACAAATGATATTTTAAATATGCTTAAAAATTGGTTTGAAACAAACGGAATAATTTTGAATGCAGAAAAAAGTATCATTATTAATTATGCAAGCAAAAAAACAAATAAAGTCACAAAAAGTGACGTTACATTTTTAGGGTGTACTTTCGATTCCACTTTAAGTTATGAAACCCATATAGATAACGTCTGTAAAAAGTTAGCCAGTGCTAATTACGCTTTATTGAAGCTTAAGCCCATTATTGACAAGAAAACTCTTATATCCGTCTACTTTGCATATTGTCACTCCATTATTAGCTACGCGATTACGATATGGGGAAATGCTACACAAATTGAAAGAGTACTGATTCGTCAAAAAAGGTCGATTAGAATTATACATGGATTGCAAAGATCGATATCAGCTAGAGCCTATTTCCAAAAAGCGAAAATTATGACTGTCGTTTCGTTATATATTTATAGATCGCTTCTAGAAGTACACCAGGAAAAAAGTAAACTACCAATGAAGAAGCACGTACATAACTACAATTCTAGAAATCGCGAAAGATTAGTTATTCCAAGAACTAGATTAGTCAAAGTGTTCAAGCAAGGTTTTGCAATAAAAATTATAATGTACAATAAATTGCCAATAGAAATAACAAGACTTCCGCTAAATGCGTTCCGACAAGTGATAAAAACATTCTTTTTAAATCACGCTTTTTACAACATAGAAGAATATATGCAATGTTCATTTTTTGACTTGTTTGACACATAAAATAATGTACTGTAAATGAGATGTATCTTAATTATATTATTGTAATTGTATAATTTGTAATTTTAACTATATTATTGTATCTATATAATTGTAATTGTAATTTTGACGTACCAATGTTACGTAATGTAACGTAATGGCAAATAAATAAATAAATAAAAAAACGTCACTTCTTTAACATTCACCTAAAAGTGGGTACCTTTTAGTGACCCTCTATGACCGTAACTCGATTTCTTTGATTTTTGAGTTAAGGGGATACCTTGAAAATGAATCGAAGTTTTGGGGGCGTGGCTTATTCCTTTGTCGGTGAAGCTAACGGACGACTGCGGGAGTGTCAAAATGAAAGTGATGCAATGACTTCATAGTACGCAAATTATGAGATAGCCATACCGAGCAAGCGCTCGGAAGAAAACTAAGTAAGCGCCAAACTACATTTTTATTTATTTCAACAAAACTTGTTATGGATTCAAAAGCTGGTTTATGAAAACTTAGATATGATTATTTACTATGTCTTAAAAATAATTCCATGAACTTATTAGTAATAATATTGTGGTGTCAAGGAGAAATCTAAATAATTAGAGCCTATTTTGCAATTTTTTTCTATCGAGAAAATTACATGATATCGTGTTTTTCTTTTATGCATTTCATGGTCATATAGTCAAAAATCATATATCAAAATTTTGTTTTGTAATCTATAAAACTTTAAAAATATGTTAAATAGAAAAGCACCAAATTTTCGAGGTATCACCTTAAGTCCATACCATTCTGAAGGTGCGATTTAAGCTTCGTGATGTTTTTTTTACTGTAAAATAATATTCGCTAAATTCATGGTAAGCTCTAAGATGGAAAATGAGAAAATAAAAATAATGAAAGAAAAATATGATGAGACACGATGGAAATATTTTTTACAGAAAATGTCAGTGTGCAGATTGTCTATTGGACGAGAATTAATTCGATTTATTAAAATCTGTATTAAGATGTATGCAAGGGTGCAAATTATAACGATTAGATATCGGCCTAATCTGTAGGTCAATTATGGGACAACTGCCAAACCACTATGGCCTACATACACGCCTTATTTTAGTCGGCCGACTATTAATAATTTAGAATTTAATAATTTGGAATGCACCGTGTAAAATTTTCTTTGCAAAAATCTGTCACTTTGTACCTAGGCTGCACTAAAAGTATCGGGAATGGAATATTTCCACTGTTCCTGTCATATTAAAATCTTTTTAATTGAAAACTCCTTGGTTTTAAAAAATCGAATACCATTTATTTATTTAAAAAAAGATTCTCGGTCTTGTCACAAGGTTTTGTCAAACTTGTTTAGTCGTTGAGAAAATGGAATTGACTCGAGAAAATTAAAGAGCTATGATTTATTATGACTTTCGAAGTGGTTTGACACAAAAACAGTGTGTTGACCGGATTATTTCTGCATTTGGTGATGAAGCCCCATCCAAAACCACAATTTATCGCTGGTTTGCTGAATTTCAACGTGGACGTGTCAAGCTCATTGATGATCCCCGTCAAGGTCATCCGAAAACTGCTGTCACCCAAGAAAACATTGATGCTGTGCGAAAGCTGATTGAGGAAGATCGACATGTGACACACCGCAAAATTTAAGCAACTTTACAAATTGGCATGAGTTAAATACAAATAATTTTGAATGAACAATTAGGTGTAAAAAAGTTGTTTTCCCGATGGATACCGCATTCGCCATGTAAAGAGCAAAAAGCGGCTCGCGTTACTTGGTGCGTCAGAACTCTCGAAGGATTCCACGCAGGATCCTCAAATGCTGTATACAACATCGTATTAGGTGATGAATCTTGGATATACGCGTACGAACTCGAAACAAAAAACCAGTCACGAGTTGGGGTGTTCGAAAATGAGTTAAAGCCAACAAAAATTGTTCGTTCACGGAGTGTTGCAAAAAAAATGGTGGCCACGTTTGTCTCCAAAACCGGCCATATTA